GGGACGGGGTCTGAGAGAGAATAATCGTGCTTGCTTAGCTCTCTGTCGGATTTCAGTCCCTTCTGCCACTTCCCCCAAGCAAAGTGGGCCTTTCTGGTGCTAATTTCCATGTGGGTGGGCTTGTTATGGGGTAGGACCCTATGGGTCTCTCCAAGAAACTTTCCTGCGAGGCTGGGAGTCTCTCCCGGCACCTCAGCCTCCACAGGTGTTTTCAATCAGTGCTTTGAGGCTTTATTTCCCCATGTTGGGACCCTGGGTTGTGCTGTCTATTTCGCTCCCCAGTTTTGCCTGGTTTATCTCTGCACAAATGTGGGACCACCAGGTCAGCCAGCTGCCTTGTGCACCATGCCCCGCTTCACAATCGCTGCCTTAATGGGTCTGCCCATTGTCACCCCATGCCCAGGGTCTGCCAGCCACTGCCTGCGCACCCAGTGTCCACCCGCTGCTGTCTTGTGCACCAGGGGTTTGTCAGCTGCTGCCTTGTGCGCCCAGTGCCACTGCTTTTTTTTTTTTTTGCCATGACCTCTCTCCGAAGGGAGGCCCTACTCCGCCCAGAGGCCCGACTCCACCCTGAGGCTCGACTCCACCCCTCCTACTGGTCTGGATGAATGGGTCTATTTTAACTCCTTGGTTATCGGACCTCCATACAGTTCAATTTTCTGTCAGTTCTGGTTTTTATTTTGTTTCTAAATTGTTGTTGTCCTTATTTTGGTTGTTCAAGGAGGCACAGTGTGTCTACCTATGCTTCCATCTTGGCCGGAAGTACTAAAAAGATTTTTTTAAATTTATTTTTAGATCAAGGGGAAAGGGGAGAGAGAAAGATTGGTTGGTTGCCTCTTGTCTGAGCCCCAACTGGAGTCCAAAGTACCATTCCCCAGGCATGTGACCCAACTGGGAATCAAACCAGCAACCTTTCTTTTGCAGGATGACTCCCAACCAACTGAGCCACGCCAGTCAAAACTGAAAAGTTTTTTAAAAATTGTCCTAGAGAGAGTTCAAGTCCCAAAGCACTGTGTTCACTGATCTGCCCTAGAACATATCAAATTATATGATAGTAACCTATTAATAAATCTGTCTCCATATTTAAATGACTGTCAGCTGCTCAGCATAGAGTCTCTATCTCTCTAAATTATGTCTCTTCAGCAGCTACTGTACGCTTAGCACTGAGTAGGCCCTCAACAGAGACTTACTTGTAAATGCTTGACTGATTACATGACTGGTTGCCTGAAGGAGCTCTACTGTTCTGTTGCCCTGAAGGGGAATACTACTGCTGCTGGGCATGACAAGTTGCCAAAAAGGAAATGATTTTCTGACTAGAATAATATATATTTGAAAGTTTGTCTTTCAAACTTTCAGGATTGTTTTAGCTGCCAAATGTTAAGCACTATGGTTATTTGGAAGCTTAGATAGATTCAAACCATTGACCTTGAGTTCAGGGGTTTTTTTTGTTCGTTTTTGGTTTTTTGTAAGCTATGACTGATCTTTTGACTCATTCTTTCTTTCACCAGGAAATACAGTGAATATTTATTTCAGGATTTTAATTATCCTTTCTGAAGAGTGTATTGCTCATTAATATATTTGAATTGTCTGAAAGCTTTGCTTTTTGTTTTCTGGTAGCCAACAGGACCACAGCTTGGTCTGTACTCACTGACTGTACCAAAACCATGTGTAAACACGAGTGATCTGAATAACTGTCTAGAGGAAGGCTATTTAAGATGCGACCATCCCGCCCTGACTGGTGTGGCTCAGTGGATTGAGCGCCAGCCTGTGAACCTAACTGAAAGGTCACCAGTTCCATTCCCCATCAGGACACATGCCTGGATTCCAGGCCAGGTCCCCAGTTGGGGGTGTGCAAGAGGCAACCTGTCTTTGTATATCTCACACACTGATGTTTCTCTCCCTTTCTTCCCCTCTCCCTAAAAATAAATGACTAAATGAAATCTTTTTAAAGAAAAGATGAGACCATCCTTTCTGACTTTTTTTAGAGGGATGGGATATGCAGGAGGGTGAATCTGAGGAAGGCAGTATGTGTTTGCATCTGTAAATACCACATCGTTGCTTACAGTACACTAGATTCTCCTCATGCAGGAGCTAGACAGACCAAATCAGGAATTATTCCCTTGCTTAAAGCCAAGAATAACACCCTGACCAGCAGGGGACAGAGGTCAGTTCAAGGCAACAGCTCTTGGGAGCCTTAGGACATTAAGAACCTTGAACGAGCTGAATTTAATAGAAGGTAGCCAACCAAAACATTGAAAGAAGTGTTTGAAACTTGTGTCTTTCTTATTGGGGCATGGCTTACTTATGAAAACTTGTCATAACAGATATATGATGAATTCATATAACCAATCTTTTGGTCATTTAACTCTTCTGCCTGCAATGAAAAAATGTATATATATTTTTCCTCTTGCCTGCATGTTGATTTGCCTATTGTTTTTATTAGAAAAAGAGGAAAAGGATGGTCTACTAATATTCTGGTGTTTTATTCCACAAGCAACCTCAGAAATGCCCAGGAGAGGGCAGGATTTGAAAGATGATGTGTTAATTAAAAAATAAACATCCTTTACAACAGGGGTCCCCAAATCCAAATCTGGGCTGTGGACTGGTACCAGGTCGGCCTGTTGGGAACCAGGCCACTGAGGGGAGCTCCCCTGAGCTCCTCCTTCTGACCCTGCCCGCCCCACCTCCACCTCCTGTCCCCTCCCCGCCATTCTTCCCCTCCTTGTCTGTGGAAAAACCGGTCTCTGGTGCCAAAAATGTTGGGGGACTGCTCCTTTACAAAGTCTCCTGGGGACCTTCCCGGCTGGCTGAAGTTTTGTTTCTGGGATCTTTCTGTGCCCACTTCTCTCCTTTTTCCATTCAGTTCTTCCTCATTCTGATGCTGGCTGCTCACCCCACTGAGACTATTCACACTGTTTTCTGGGGAGTATTCTAAGTTTGTCTTGTCTTCTTTAGGATTCATTTTTCTGGTCCTACTTCAGCTGGTTCTGGGCCAAAGTGATCGCCTGAAAGCTTTTCTTCATGGCCTTTATTTCTTGGTTCATTTAATGTTCTTTGCCTGATTTGTTTTGCTGCTTCTCTCCTTTTCCAGTATTGTAAACTATGTTGCCTCGGGCCTCTTAGATTTTGCTCTAGTTTGTAAAGTGCCTTTTTCTTTTCCTAAAAATTGGGGAATGAATAAATCAGGTGTTTTGTGGTGAGGGGTTGCTAACTCTTCTAGGACTCTAGTTTGCTACTTGTTTAAACACATAGGTGGCAATTTGGATTGTACTTGCAAGGTAGGACTTGTTGCCAAGACTCTAAAGTAGGTCATTGCTGTTACCCTTTCTCCCCTTGTTTTTCAATAGAAAATTTAGCGGTAAAGAGAGAACTGCCTTGTCCATGGACACATAGTAGTAGTGAAACCAGAAAAGAGACTGGCGTTCATGCTGCCTACCACTACCAAACCCAATAAGCAGTGACAGCAATTGAATCTTTATAGGCGCTTTATTCAGATGGCCGGGGATCTGAGAAGATGGTGTGTTCATACCCTAACAGACCATCTTGTCTTCTTTTTCCAGACCAGATTTTTTATAACGGTGAGGGGGGAATGAACAAGGTGTGGTGAGGGCTTTGAGATTCAGAAGCTGCAACATTGCTGTCCTGGGCAGTTAGTTAGCTGTTTCCAGGGGAGGGTGGTTGTCTGTCTCTCCCTGGAACACAAAGGTCCAGATGCCTCCAGTTGTCCCCAGGCAGTAATCTTTAGCAGTGCCCCAGGAGGTCAGCTGTTTTCCCAGGAGCCAGGATGGGCCTCATCTGTAGTTTCTGAAACAAAAGCTTTAACATACACATTACTTGCTAGACTTATAACTTTTTACCTTAAGCTAAAATTTTCCAAGTCTTGAGTCCCCTTTCAGTAGGTTGGTTGTAACACCTTATGAAGCACGCCTAATTTTTGTATTCCTTATAATTCTTATCATAGCTATTAACAAATAGTTAATAAAGAACACAATAGTTTAATATATATACATTCTAACTGTGGATTGATTACTTAATTAAATTTCAGATTTCTCATCGAGTTGATCTCACCTTTTAGACCAGTATGTGAGAACAGTTTTTGAGTGGAAAGAACTGAATAGCTCTGCAGAAAATTTTTAAAAATTTACTTTTTTGTGTGTGTAAAAATCCTCATGTAAATCCTATTTGTAATGAAGAAAAAGGATAGTACAGCTAGAGTGGAAACTGGTTAAAAAGGTAAGGAGGAATAGGATGAGAGAGGATAAAAGAATATGGGTTAATCAAGAGATAGGAACAAAGAGGCATCTTGCCAGTTTGGTATAAGGCAGTAAAAGTGAAAATTTACCATCCTCCCCCCAATATCAGGCTCCCCACCGTGCCCCTCTCCCAGACAGACCATTATCAAAGGGCTATAATGACTCTCTCTGGTCACTCATGTCCGGTTTTGGCTGCCATGGGAAGCATGAAGAGGGCCTGTGGGGTCAGTCAGCTGCAAAGAACAATTGTCCTTTTGATTTGTTAAGTTCTTCATGATAGTTCTCAAATAGTACTCTCAAATAGTACTACTAATTCCAAAGCCAAAACCATTTTCTGATTGTTTTGCTGTGCCCAGTCAGCTCGTGGGACCACAGCAGCAGCTGAGATTCCTGTACTATTTAGCATGTCGTGCAATAACCCTTCAGAGGGCCCATTTACCTTTTTTTAACCTTAAAAAAACAACAAAAACAAACTTTACTTTTGCTTTGGGGCCAGTAGTTTGCATCTCATTTGGGATCCTTTGTCTCCCCCCTTCATCTGGGTTCCATGAGTTGTATGAATGAATTTCACTATTTCTGGTTTTAGATGTGTTTCCAACTCTTGTCTTTACCTGTTCCCTGTAGTAAACTATGGTTCCAGACTTGCTTGGGGAGAGGGTGATTGATTTTTTTCTTGCTTGTTTGTTTTTTGATTGAGCAAATATGTTCTCTACTTACTCATTATTCTTTACTTTCTTTGTCAAACAGGCCACCAAGCAGTTTCTTGAAGAGATTAACAAGTGGACAGCTCAATACAACGTTTCCCCTCTCTCTTGGAATGTGGCTGTAAAGTTCCTCATGGCCCGGAAGTTTGATGTACCCCGTGCCATAGAGCTGTTCCACACCTACAGGGTATGTAGCTCAGGGGTGGACCAGACCTGTGGCAGCTGTGCTCTCTTATATTCCTGTTTTCTTTGCCACTCTCTACACACAGTGGTTCTGCATGTTCTCCCCACTCTCATTTAAAAAAAAAATGTGCTGGCTGTTGTGGCTCAGTGGATTGAGCACCAGCCTGCAGACTGAAAGATTGCTGGTTCGAATCCCATTCAGGGCACCTGCATGGGTGTGGGCCAGGTCTCCAGTTGGGAGCATGCAAGAGGCAGCCAATTGACGTTTCTCACATATTGATGTTTTTGTCCCTCTATTTCTCCCTCCTTTCCTCTCTCTCTAAAAATAAATTTAAAAAGTGGGTCGGTATTCAAGAGCTCTATCTTGGCATCAGAGAGTTTCTGTGAAGACATGTCTCCCTAAATTAAAAAAAAAGAGAGAGAGGCATAGGGGTTAAGAATCACTAGGACTGGTTTAAGACAAAAGCTCCTTAGGCCTATCTTATGGGTCATCTTCTTCTGTATTTATTCATTTATTCAGCAGAAATTTATTGTATAGTGCTATGCTCCAGGTATAGAGATTACTATTTAGAAAGACAGAGTAAACAATCAGTTATAGAAATGTTATTGATAGGGCATTAGTGGGTTCTGTGCAAGTCTTTCTGAAGGAAATGACTTCTAAATTAAGATCTTAAAGAATGAGTAGGAATCAAAAAGGTAGAGGAAAAAAGTTCACAAAGGTATGACAGAGGTAATAACAAGCTTCTGGTACCTAGGGAGAAATTGAGCTAAGCAGAAACACTGACTGGGAGTCGGGGTATGGCAAGAGATTGAGCAGCAGAGGTAAACAGGGTCAGATAAGGGAGTATCTATCTGCTTTTTCTTTTTTTTTTTTAATTTAATCTTTATTGTATTTTTTCCCATTGCCATTTAGTCCCCTTATACCCCCTCCCCCCAGCAATCACCACACTGTTGTCTATGTCCATGAGTCTTTTTTCCTTTTTGCTCAATCCCTCTACCCCCTAACATCCCCAACCCCCACCACTAGCTGTCATCTCTCCACCTATGAGTCTGTCTCTGTTTTGCCTGTTAGTTCAGTTTGTTCATTAGATTCTAAATACAAGTGAAGTCATATGGTATTTCTCTTTCTCTGACTGGCTTATTTCACTTAGCATATATTCTCCAGGTCTATCCATACTGCTTTTTCTTATGGCATAGAAATTCACTGAAGGTATAAACAGCAGAATGACTTCATCAGATTTGCATTCTGGAAAGATTTTTCTTACTGTACTTTAGAGAATGGATCAGAATGGTAAGCTAAAGCCAGACAAATTTTAAAAGACTCATGTATGCCCTGGCTGGTGTAGCTTAGTGTATTGAGCGCAGGCTGCGAACCAAAGGGTTGCTGGTTCAATTCCCAGTCGGGGCACATGCCCTGGTCCCCAGTGGGGGCCACATGAGAGCAACCACACATTGATGTTTCTCTCCCTCTCCTTCTACCTCCTTTCCCCTCTCTCTAAAAATAAGTAAATAAAATCTTTTTTAAAAAAGTATAAAATGCTCTTGCACTTATTAGAATAGAGATGATTGTGGTGTCTTTAGAAATAATGTCAAGTGGTAATAAATAAAAAGTGGTCTGATTCTGTAAGTAAAATCAGTAGGACAGGGTTGCTTAAACTGTTGTGTGAGGCAGGAGGAGACCAAGGTTCCAGTTCTGTTCCTTGGATGACAGGGTACATGTAAAGGGTGTTCACTCATATAGGAGACACTGAATGGGTGCAGGAAGGTAGACAGAGAAGGCCATGAGTTCCGTTTGGCCATATAAAGTTTGAAGTGCCATTGGGATATCTACATAGACATGTGCTCTAAGCAGTTGGACTATAAGTCTAGGGTTTAGAAAAGAAATCTGGACTGCAAGTGGAGATTTGGAGTGAACAAAGTAGAGCTGAATGTTGGAACCATGAGAATGGGTGAGGTCATCCTGGGAGAGTATGTAAGACAGATTCTCACCTCAGACTTTTTGCTTTCTTTGGTTGAAAAGTCCTTTTAAAAGCTGAATTGGAATGCTTTAATTTAGGTAGGGCATGTACTCTTCTGTGATCCCAGCACTGATACTGTCTTCACCTGCTACTGAAGGCATTTGAATTTGATTTTAGAGATGGACTGAGGAAGACCTGGTTTTGTTTTATTCACCAGCATGTTCCTAGCACTCAACTCAGTGTATGGTACATCATGGTTGTTCTACAAATATTTGCAGAATAAATAAATGAGTGAATGAGCAAATGAATAATAATTTTTTTAAAGCCCACAAAAGAGACTTAGAAGGAATAGTTGAAGAAATAGCAAAACCCTGAAAGTATTCTCTGTCAAAGGTAGAGAATGTCTCAGGAAGAAGGGAATGCAAGTGGTCAACCTTGTCACATAAAGGAGGACGAAAAATGGCCACTGGATTCAGTGACAGTAAGGACCTTCTGTAGTTAGACAAAATGAGAATGCAGTAGACTGCGCTTAAGGGAGCTGAGGGTAAGCTTAAAGAATCTGACCGTGGCTCTTCCCCAAAGCAGCCAGAGGTGACCTCTGAAAATAGTTCACTATTCACTTGACCCAGAAAACCCCACAAAATCATATAAATCACGAGGTTTATATCTTCGTGTTCACTTCAAGAACTCATGAAACTGCCCAGGCCATCAAGGGCATGCATATTTGAAAAGCCACCAAGTATGTGAAGGATGCCAGTTTACAGAAGCAATGTGTGCCTTTCCGTCATTACAACGGTGGAGTTGGTAGGTGTGCCCAGGCCGAACAGTGGGGCTGGACACACGGTCGGTGGCCCAAAAAAGAGTGCTGGATTTTTGCTGCACATGCTTAAAAGTGCAGTTAATGCTGAGCTTAAGGGTTTAGATGTAGATTCTCTGGTCATTGAGCACATCCAGGTGAACAAGGCTCCCAAGAAGCAGCGCAGAACTGACAGAGCTTGTGGGCATGTTAACCCACACATGAGCCCTCCCTGCCACACTGAGATGATCCTGCTGAAAAAGAGCAGGTTGTTCCTGAACCAGGAGAGAACGTTGCATAGAAGAAAAAGATATCCCAGAAGAAACTGAAGAAACAACACCTTATGGCCTGGGAGTAAATTCAGCATAAAATAAATACTAATAAAGTAAAAAAAAAAAAAAAGAATGTGGCCATGAGGATGAGAAAAATGGAAAAATGAGGTGATGGTAGCTGTTGTTAAGAGTATTGAGGGAAGAGGAGGGGAAACTCGAAGGAGAGGTTTGTGCCTGGAAGATGTGTGAAAGTACCTGCTTACGGAGAGCTTTGGGTGAATATTTAATATCCTGGTCCAATATCTGTGCTGCTGCATGTTTAAGAAATTTGACCCTGTATGCTAATGATACATATTGATTGGTCTTCAGGGTTAGGATTCTCCCTGATTCATAGGGAACTATTCTACCTAAGGAGCTGATAAGGTGTCCTTAGGACAGGAATTCTGGTAACACTTAGTTGGTCTGGAAGGGTGTTACAAAGGAGTTTATGATTCAGTTAACTGACTTGTAAAGTCCCTTATCTCTGAAATTTGGTGATTGTATAAATCTGTTCTGGATATACAATGTTTTGATACTAATTTATCTTGCATGCTTTATTTTTAGGAAACACGAAGGAAAGAAGGCATTGTGAAGCTGAAACCTCATGATGAACCTCTTCGTTCTGAGATCCTTAGTGGAAAATTCACCATCTTAGTGAGTCTTCATGGACCTCTTGTAATGTCTCATTATTTCCTTTTTTTTTTAACTGGAGAAAAATTAAAGATTTATTATTTATTTATTTTTCCTTTTTTTTTTTTCATTATTTCTTTTTGTAGCTGTTGTCCTCTTTGGACTTTTTTCACTGGATACTGTATCCCAACTCTAGAGCATCTCAGCAGTTGGGAGCAGATGTGAAGCAGCTGTGTAATTTGGCACAAAATTATTCTAGTAATAATTGAAACTATTGGGAATTAATTGTACAGTAGATTTAGAAAAGTTTCTTCATTGGTTTATAAGTTAGTAAAGGCTTTTGGGGTGGATATATAATCTCTTAGAGGCCCATCCTACCTTACTGAATGTAAGATCTCTTCACTTAGAGGCCATAGCCTTTCAGGTAAGGATTTATACAATGGGTGGATTTTATTGTTTTCCTCTGCTATTTGTTTGGGCATCCTGCCTGGGAAATTAGCCAGTCAGCCAGTTAAGATAATGTGTTTCTTTCCTGTCACCAATATATAGTGGGGGGCAGAGGGTGCAAAAAATCAGGCTCAAGATGACATAAACTTTCTTCCCTTTCTGGAGCAATTGACGCAAGCCAGAGAAGTATTGTCGGTATCTGTTCTCTCTTTATTGGAAAGCTGTATCCAGGATATAAGAAGTTGTAGTGATTATCGGGATTTTCTGTTTGATTTCTAAATGTTTCTTGTTTTATTTACTCTAGAATGTTCGGGACCCAACAGGAGCCTCCATCGCCCTCTTCACTGCCAGATTGCATCATCCACACAAGTCAGTCCAACATGTGGTACTTCAGGCTCTGTTTTACTTACTAGACAGAGCTGTGGATAGGTGAGCATGGAGATTATCTTTTAGGTGGGCTGCATCCAGGTGGGAAAGGGACAGTTCTTGATTTGGTAAAACTTAGCGGTCCCTTTCCTATGCCCCTTGGATGTGCCCTGGGCAGAGAGTGCTGTGAAAATAACCCATGTCCTTAAAGGCTTGACCTATTTCTAGGTACTATCAAGATGGTGGGTTTCCTGTATCTTTACTTGCTTGGCTCTTTTCAGGATTACAGAAGTTGGGAAAGACAATTAAATAGCATTCCTCAGTGTATTAAGAATTACTTTTTGAGAAGCCCTGGCCAGGTAACTCAGTTGGTTAGAGCATTGTCCCAGTGTACTAAGCTTGTTGGTTCAAACCCTGGTTAGGGTGCATACAGTAATCAACCAATGAGCCCTGAGTGGTGTGGCTCAGTGGGCTGAGTACCAGCCTACAAACTGGGAGGTCACCTGTTAGATTTCTGGTCAGGGCACATGCCTGGGTTGCAGGCCAGGTCTTCAGTTGTGGGCATGTAAGAGACAACCAACTGATGTTTCGCTCTGTTTCTTTCTTTCTCTCTTCCCCTCTCTAAAAAATAAATAAAATTTTTTAAAAATTAAAAAAAGGAATCAACCAGTGATTGCATAAATAAGTAGAACAACAGCACTAGCTGTTGTAGCTTAATGGATTGAGTGGCAGCCTATGCATCAAAGGGTCACCAGTTCAATTACCAGTCAGGGCATACCACCCGGGTTGCAGGCTAGGTTTCCCATAGTGGGCGTGCGAGAGGCAACCACACATTGATGTTTCTTTCCCCTCTTTCTCCCTCCCTTCCCCTCTTTCTAAAAATAAGTAAATAAATTATTTTGATTTGAACCTAAGGCTACTAGAGAAACTTGGATCTACCTCACAATTAGAGATTTTTGAAATGCTACTTCATTAGTGAGTGCTTCCATCTTGGATTTTATTGACAGGAAAAAGGTATAGAGGCTTATGAGAGTTAAAAAAAAATTATTGGGTTGGCCAAAAAGCCCATTTAGTTTTTTCTGTAAAATAAAAGACACATTTTTTTATTTCATGAATAACTTTATTGATTTGGATATTTTGAGTATGTCAGCTATCTCCCACATGGTGTGATGCTGATTGTTCTCAGTTAATGTCTCTGTTTGATTGCTGCCAAATTCATCTGTTCTTCCCAACTGTGGAGCATCATCCAGTGAGAAATCTCCAGCACAAAACTTCACAAACCACTTTCGACATGTTTGATTAGTCACAGCACCTTCTCCATACACTGCACAAATCTTTTTTTTGTCAGTTGTGTTTTTTTACCTTGAAATAATAAAGCATAGTATGCCAAAAATGTTGCATATTTTCTTCCATCTTCAATATTAAAATGGCTACACAAAAATTCACCAGTTTTGATAAGTTTTGATGAACACTGATCTGACAGTGGTCATAATACTATCTAACAAAATTGTTTTGAATGACATTAAAGACAAGTAAGCACCACTAGAGACATCTTAAGGAAACAAACAAACTTTTTGGCCAATCCAATAGTATACAAAATAACATGGGACCCCTAATTTCAGGATTGTGTTTTGTGCCAAGACTTCTCAGTTTTAAATACAGTGGTACCTTGGTACTCATCAGCTTCAGAATTGGTCAAACCTGGTACTTGTATTTTGATGAGGATAAGTTTCAGAACTCGGTGCTTACTCACCACTCTTTGCACTTGCTACAACTTCTATGAGTCACGACACCACTCTGTAATAGAAAACATTTCATCAATAGTTGTATGTTCGCCACTTGTCAGAATAAATTAATGATGAGTACTGAGGTACCACTGTAAATGTGAAAACTGGTGCTGTCATCTCTGGATAATCCAGTCAAATAATTTATTCTGTGTACAGAATAAAGCAAATAAGGATCTGGCTCGGCGTAGGGGCAATTTTGAAAAGTCCTTAGGCATTTAGGAGATTGCACTGAGGAATACTTTTGTATCTGCATGTATTCCTAGCTTCAATTTGGGAATAGGCTGATCACCTTTCAATTCACTTTTGAAGATATTTTCCAAAAACCCTTTTTGGGTTTTCTTCCTCCAAGTCAAAAGGCACAAATTCACAATCATTAAGCTTAGAGTTTTGTTTTACAGTTTCTCACAGTCCAAAGTATTTTCTGAGTGATAGCTTCCAGTCCACTGTATTACAATTCAGTGATCATTCACTGTGGACCTGTGTTGCACGGACTGTGCTGGGGACTGTTGGGGATAACAAATGAACAAAATACACTTCCTTCTAGGGGAGAATCAGATAGCCACACAAAGGTGGCACACTTTAAGTGCCACGATGAAGATCCACAGAAAGATTTACAGGGTTCAAGAAGGTGAAGGATGGTAGTACATTTGATTACAATTATTAGGGAGATCTTCATGGAAGAGGAAACTTTTGAGCTAAACATGGAATGTTATAGAATTTGTATAGACATTCAGAGACAGGAAGAAACAGTTCAAATTTTGACAACTTAGATGCTCTGGAACATTCTTAACTTACATGTTTGGTACTTGATAAATCTGGACAAATAAGCGTCAGTAAGTATAATTTCACTTTCAGTTTTAACATGAGAGGCTTTCCCCCACACCACACAGTTTTTCAACACCAGCTCAATGTCCCACAATTTACCTCAGTTCTGAAACTGTCTACCTAGAAACAGTGTCAGGTCTCCCTCAGGTTAAGGGTTTATAACACTGCAAGACTGTCTCTTTCCACCCCCTTCAGAAAACAATGGCAAGTTTAGGTTGTCACCACTGCTTCTGACCAACAGTCTATAAATCAGAGGTTCTAACCTCTCCCTTCTTGGGTTTGATGAATTTGCTAGAATGGTTCACAGGATTCAGAGAAACATTTTACTTACTAGGTTAGCAGTTTATGATAAAAGGATATGTCCAGAAACAGCCGGGTGGATGGGATATAGAGCAAGGTATGGGGAAAGAGCATGAAGTTTCCATGCTCTGTCTCTGAGAGGGCCATTCTCCCAACACTTCAACATGTTCACCAACCAGAAGAAGCTCTCTGAACCCTATCCTACTGAGTTTTTATGGAAGCCTCATTACTTAGGCATGATTGGTTAAATCATTAGCCATTGGTGACTGAACTCAGTCTCTAGCCCCTCACCCACCCCTCCTGCCCAGGTGGGGATGGGGGGTAGTATTGAAAGCAGCAATCCTCTAATCAAGTGGGTGGTTCCCCTAGCAACCATCTTCATCCTAGGTGACTTTAGGACATTCCAGCAGTCACCTCATTAACATAACAGACACCTTTATTGAGATCTTCACTTAGGAAATTCCAAGAATATTCAAGGTCAAAGACTAAATATATAGTTCTTATTACAAGTCACAATATCACAATAACCAAAGATAAATCATCTTTCTTTAAGACCAGTGTTTAGGGAGGTTGTTATTTTGGTCCCAAATGTGTCCCATATTTTAGCCCCAGGCTTTCAACTGGCCACATTCATGTGATTACTTAAATATTTTTGTTCAATGGTTGGTTTACAGCTTTGAAACTCAGAGGAATGGACTGGTGTTTATCTATGACATGTGCGGTTCTAATTATACCAACTTTGAGCTGGATCTTGGCAAGAAAGTCCTAAACTTGCTAAAGGTAAGGCTGTGACAGGGTCTTCTCAACTGTCCTACAATGGTTAGGATACCTTTTTCTATTCTTTGGAAGATTTATGAATTATGTAAACTTTAGACATTGTGTTCTATTTAAAGGTCAACCTGTAAATGAAGACTAATACTTGCTTTTTCAGAACAAGAAATGGTCTTACAAGTAAAGTGGGAAGAATTTAAATAAGAATGTACAGGAACATTCTGAATCATCCTGGAATTTGGCAGAATAAGAGTAAATGAAGGCCTAGGTATGGCCAGTGTCCTTGAAAAATGTCACCTAGCCAGTGACTTTCAGACTTTTTAAACATAATCTAGTCAGAAATATGTTTTATATTATGACTTAGTCCACAAAAGTATTTGTACATTTAAACATATATGTAGAGTTGCATACATAAATAAGGTTCTTAATCTCTTATCCCAAACTATTAGGTCCAGGGGTGTTTTTTAATATTTTGAACCTTAGATTTCATTTATTTATTTATTTTTAGAGAAAGAAGGGGAGAGAAACAATGTGTGAGAGGCAAATTAATGGTTGCCTTTCGTATGCCCCCAACTGGAGACCTGGCCCCAGGCATGCACCCTGACTAGGAATTATACCGGCAACCTTTAAGTTTGAAGGCCAGCGCTCAATCCACTGAGGCACATCAGCCAGGACTGAACTTTAAAGGATAATATGTATGCCACTCTATAATCCAACATTAATATTTCTGCAGTGGGATGTATTATTCTTAATGAGTGGAGAAGAATAAGGGCTGTAAATGGCCTAGGGCAGTTCAGGTTAGCTATTGCTGCCCTGTGAATTTTGTACCAAACTTACAAAAGAAACTTAAGGTTTTCAGAGTTATTTAGATTTCAGAATCTGAACAGAGGTGTGTGTATGTCTGTGTGTACATGTTTATAAAACAAAAAAAGTTAGTTACACAAAGTAAGCTTTATCCTTACTATAGGCAGTCACTTTGATTATTCCCTTTTAGTTCATATTTTAAAAATATTAGTCATCATCTATAAAATTAATTTCAGGACCCAGTGAGTGACAACAGAGAGAAAGAAAGGGAGCAGGGGAGAGAGAGAAACATTTATGGGTTGCCTGGTGTACGTGTCCTGACCAGGGATCACACCTGCAACCTTTTTTGTGTACCAGATGATACTCCAAACAACTGAACCACCCAGCCAGGGCTAGAGATGTTTATTTACTATTGCAGCTTTATAATAGAAAGTGTATAAATAAAGTATTACACTGCATGCTGTTTTCTGGAACTCACTAATCATTATTTTATTAAAATTCCTCTTGCAGCATGTAGCTGTGACTCATTTCTTTTTATTGATGGTTGAAGGACTGTTACCTTTTAATTCCTTATCTATTGGTGAATGTATCAGATTATTCATCTACTCTTGTACTGATGGTTGCTTGGATTGTTTCCTGATTTTTGCTATTATGAACGGTGCTTCTGTGAATAGTTTATACTTATCTTCCAGTGCATGTGTTTCTCAACCATTTTTTCATTATTACCTCACTAAGGAGCCTGTTGAAGACATTCCCTACCCTCACCACCAGTTCTTTTAATGAAATTCTAACACCACAGATGTACTATATATATCATGATGTACTGAATGCATATCTGTGGTTTATGCAGAAAAAGATTATGATGTTTTTGCCCATTCTCCACTCTCCTTAAAACTCATTTATCCCCTTGGGGGTGGTATCATCACCCCACTGGGAATGCATGCTCATACACCTAGAGTAGAATTACTGGGTGATAAGGTCGTGAAGATTCAACTTCATAAAATAGTGTCAAATTGTTTTCCTAAATGGTTGTATCCACCTGCCATGTGTAAAATTTCCATTGGCCCACCTCTTCTTCAACACTTAGTGATGTTAGACTTGTTAGTGTTTTCCCAATCAAGTGGGACAAAATGGCATCTTGTACAACTTGCATTTCTCATGGTAATGAGATTTATCTCTTTATACATTTATTGGCCATATATGTTTTCTTTTTCTGCAGAATGCCTGCTTGTAGCTTTTACCCAGTTTCCTATTGGTTTGTCCATTTATGTAGTTTTTTATATATTATTAATCCATTTATATATCCATATGTATTAATATGTACTGTCTTAGTTTATAGCTTGTGTTTTCACTTGTCTTTTTAACTAATAGAAGTTCTTTCTTAACTTTAATATGGTTAAATGTGTCTGAATTTTTTTTTTGTTTCATATATTTGCATCTTAAATCCTTTCATATTCCAAAGTCAGAAAAAATATATTAACTATGTTTTTACTGCTTTACCACTGATTACATATGTATTAATTTTTTAGTTGATTTTTTTATTGTGGTGAAATATACATAATAAAATTCACCATTTTAACAGTTTTTAAGTGTACAGTTTAGTGACGTTAAATACGTTCACAGTGCAACCATCACCACTATTCATTTTCAGAACTATTTTGTTATCCCAAAGAAAAAGTCTGTACCCATTAAACAATGTCTTCCAATAACCCCAACCCCCCAGCCTCTGGTATTTTGCCTTTTCTAGGTTCTCATTGAAGTAGAATCACACAATATTTATCCTTTTGTGTGTATTTTATTTTACTTAGCATAATGTTTTCAAGATTAATTTATATTGCAGCATATATCAGAATTCATTTTTTAAGGCTGAATAATATTTCATTGTATATATGTACAACATTTTGTTTATCCAGTCACCTGTCCATAGACATTTGGGTTGTTTCCGCCTGTTGGCTGTTGTGAATAATGCTGCTGTGGACATTGGTGTGCAAAGTATCTGTTTGAGTCCCTGACTTCAATTCTTTTGCACATACACTAGAAGTGGAATTGTTGGATAATGGGTAATTCTACATGTAACATTTTGAGGAGCTATTTTCTTTTTTTTATTATTATATTTTATTGAGTATGTTATTACAGTTGTCTTGATTTTTTTCCCCCTTTGTTCCCCTCCACCTAGCATCCCGTATTTCCACAGGCAGTCCCACACCTTGGTCATGTCCATTGATCATGCGTGTAAATTCTTTGGCTACTCCATTTCACATACTGTGCTTTATATCTTCATGGCTATTCTGTAACAACCTATTTGTACTTCTTAATCCCCTCACCTCTTCACTCATTTCCCCATAATATTCACCCACCTGACAACCATCAAAATGCTCTCTGTATCCATGATTCTGTCTCTGTTCTTCTTGTTTGCTTAGTTTGTTTTTTAGATACAGTTTTTTATCGTTTTATATTCTTGCCCTTTCATTGTTCATAGTTTTGATCTTCTTCTTTTTCTTGAATAAGTCCATTTAACACTTCATATACTACTGGTTTGGTGATGATGAATTTCTTTAGTTTACTCTTATCTGGGAACATCTTTATTTGCCCTTTGATTCTAAACGATAACTTTGCTGGGTAGAGCAATCTTGGCCATAGGTCCCTGCTTTTCATGACTTTGAATATTTCTCACCAATCCCTTCTAGGCTTCAGTTTCTTGAGAAATAAGTTGACAGTCTTATGGGGACTCCCCTGTAGGTAACTAACTGCTTTTCTCTTGCTGCTTTTAAGATTCTCTATCTTTAACCTTTGGCATTTTAATTATGATGTATCTTGCTGTGGACCTCTTTGCATCTATCTCGTGTGGGACTCTCTGTGCTTCCTGGACTTGTATGTCTGTTTCATATATCAAGTTAGGGAAATTTTCTTACATTATTTCTTCACATAGATTTCTAATTTTTTGCTCTTTCTCTTCTCCTTTTGGCACCCTTATGATGCAAATGTTGGACCTCTTGAAGTTGTCCCAGAGGCTGCTTATACTCTCCTCATTTTTTTGGATTCTTTTTTCTCCTTGCTGTTCTGATTGGTTATTTTTTGCTTCCTTATGTTCCAAGTCATTGATTTGATTCTTGGCTTCATCCACTCTGGTGTTGTTTCCCTGTAAATTGTTCTTTGTTTCAATAAGTGTATCCTTCGTTTCTGACTGGATCCTTTTTATGCTGTTGAATTCCTCACTAAGTTCCTTGAGCATCCTTATAACCAGTGTTTCAAACTTTGCATCTGATACATTGCTATCTCCATTTTGTTTAGCTCTTTTTCTGGAGTTTTGATCTGTTCTTTCATTTGGGCCATGTTTTTTTGTCTCCTCATTTTGGCAGCCTCCCTGGATTTGTTTCTATGTATTAGTAGAGCTGTTTTGACTCCATGTCTTGGTAGTGTGGCCTAATGTAGTAGGTATCCTGCAGGGTCCAGTGGCACAGCCTCACCTATCATCCAAGCTGGGTACTATTGGTGCACGTTCTGTGTGGGCTGAGTACACTCTCCTATTGTAGTTGAGCCTTGGTTGCCACTGGCAGATCAATGGGAGGGATTTACCCAGGCCAGTGAGCTATAAGGATTGGCTGTGACCAATTAGCACCAACCTCCACCCTCTGTGGAAGATCAGCTGTGCAGGGACAGGGTGGTGATTCTCTAGTGTGGTCTGTAGCTGTACACTGGTGTTGCTAGCCCTGGTGTTTCCATGGTGGTACAGGCCAAGTTCAGCCTCCACCTGTGTTGGGCTTGGAGATTCTTAGATAAAGCCAAGCTATGAATCTAGGCTGACTGCTGCTGTATGCCTGGCCTGGGGCTCAGTGAGGCCAGCTGTTGCTTGTTTGAGAGGATATAGGAAGATGTATAATATGAGCCAAGACCAGCCATTCGTATGGAAAAGCAGCTCAGGTGGGCTGGTAAGTTGGGTGGGGTGGAATGGAGTCCCTGGAGATATCCCAAGTGGATCAAACAGTGTTAGCCAGGTTAATGGAATTTCAGATTTGGTACCAGGTTGCCAGCTCTGTGGGGCGAAGATTCAGAAAAGGATCAGTGGCCTCTGCTCACCTTGATGCCAGTTTCTTGCTGTATGCCACTGGTGCCTATCAAGCTGTTCCCTGGTGCTGTAGCTCAGAGGGAGTGAGTCTGAGTAGGTGAGTTCATGTGTGAGTTCTTTAAGAGGAATTGCTTAGGGC